GATCAGTTTGGTTTGTTTTTTTTTTGTTAAATTTATTTGACAGACTTGACATCTTTGGCTTGTTTTTTCCACAGGACTCCAGTATCAAACTCGAGAGTTCGGGAATGAATGAACTCAAGGAGTTCGGGAATGTATGAATGATAGAGGGCTCCAGTACCAAACTCAAGATTTATTCATGAATGAATGAATGAAATGAATGGATGAATGAAATGAATGGATGAATGAAATGAATGGATGAATGAATGAATGAAATGAATGGATGAATGAATTAATGAATGAATGAACGATCAGTTTGACTTGTTTTTTCTGTTACATTTATTTGACAGACTTGACATCTTTGGCTTGTTTTTTCTGCAGGGCTCCAGTATCAAACTCGAGAGTCGGGAATGAGTAAATGAATGAATGAATAAATGAACTCGAGGAGTTTAGGAATGAATGAATAGCTGATGGCTCCAGTATCAAACTCGAGGGTTCGCGAATGAATGGATGAATGAATGAATGAATGAGTAGTTTGGCTTGTTTTTTCTGTTGGATTTATTTGACAGACTTGACATCTTTGGCTTGTTTTTTCCACAGGGCTCCAGTATCAAACTCGAGAGTTCGGGAATGAATGAATAAATGAATGAAACTCGAGAGTTCGGGAATGAATGAATGAATTAATGAATGAATGAATGGATGGATGATCAATTTGACTTGTTTTTTCTGTTAGATTTATTTGACAGATTTGACATCTTTGGCTTGTTTTTTCCACAGGGTTCCAGTATCAAACTCAAGAGTTCGGGAATGAATGAATGAATGAATGAACTCGAGGAGTTCGGGAATGAATGAATGGCGGAGGGCTCCAGTATCAAACTCGATAGTTCGGGAATGAATGAATGAATGAAATGACTGAATGAATGAATGAATGAATGATCAGTGTGGGTTGTTTTTTCTGTTAGATTTATTTGACAGACTTGACATCTTTGGCTTGTTTTTTCCACAGGGCTCCAGTATCAAAACTCGAGTGTTCGGGAATGAATGCAGTTTTTTGGCTTGAAAGTAATTTCTTGAATCATTCTAGATAGATACATATGGAAATTTACGTATATAACGCAGTTTATCTTCAATAAAACTATTGTTTCGCTTTTCAAAGATAAGGTAGCAAGGATACTACATAATTGCTTGTATGGTTATAGTGCTTGCTACCTTGTATTTTTAATAATGGTATTTGACGTGGTTAGTCAAGAATTATATATCAACAAACTATCATTTTGAATGGTGACATAATAGTTGAAGCCAAAGGAAAATAAAACCTTGAGGGATTTACTATGGCAATTACAAACTTTTTCTGATTGAGTGATCACTTTATGCTATTGGTCACTGTTGAGCTTAACTAATTTGCTTTTGTGCTTAGATCTTCATTTCTTTGAACACCATGTCTTCTTTTGTTTTTTATCCTACGACACATGCTCTAAACTTGTCCTTTTGCAACAGAGAACAAACGAGCATCCATTGATATTTTCTTGAAAGCGGCAGGATACCTGGATTGTGCTGTACGTCATGTACTTCCACAGTTGCCTTCTGAACTAAGGTTTGTTTAGATGGAAAACCTTCACAGTTACTACTGATTTGGTGTTATGTTTTCATTCTTTCATTCTTTGCACTATTACTCTGAATTTCTGAGCATGGCTTGATTGTAGGAGAAACCTACCAGTAGACTTAGCAGAAGGAGTTCTTCGAGCGCTTTGCTTACAAGCATTAGGACAGGTAGTAACCTTCTCTGGCAAGACTCAGCTAATGAAAGCTCCGTTTCTTTTTATGACCAGTTCATCTCCTGATGAAGGATCTTTAATAGTCGAAAGTGATATGCATATTTGCAAGATAAGACTAGTTTTTTCAAAGGAAAAGAAGCAAAGAAGCGTGGATTCTTTTTGAGGTCTTTTTTAATTATATATAGCAAGAGGAGCTAATTAGTGAACAATCTTAACAACGAACAGAAAAGACTTTAACATTGATACATTACTAATATGTATAAATATATGTTTTTCCCCCTCTTTTGGTGAATCGTAATAAGTTTAATCTCTTGAAGAACAAGCAGGTATTCGTATTTTCCAACTACAATCACGTTCCACTTATTTCTCCAAATGTTTAAAATTGGAGTTCAACGGGAAGCATATGGCTGATTGTTTTTGAAATCTTACAGAAATTTAAAAACTGCAAGGTCTTACTTGATCTCGCTGTAAGAAATTACTTCATTGATGTCTCAGAGATGCCCAGTGCCTGTTTTATATTAGTCTTTACTAGATTAAGATAATGTTGGTAGTTTAGTTTCCACAGGAAGAGGAAGAGAGGAAGGGAAGGTTATGCTCATGGTTGTCTTGTCTATAAATAATTTGAATTTATAGGTTTGCCACTGTAGGTGTGGGCGTATACTTGCTGTTTTAAAAATGCTTATTTTTGGGATATTTCTAGAATGAAAACTAGATTCAGCTTAAGAACATTTATGAAAGGCCAAATAAAACGAGAAATATCATTATATACATCGTATACTTAACATCGTGTTAAACCATCATTAGAGGTTCATGGTTTAGGCCATAGTGCTTTAAAGGTTTCTTTGTTTTGTAAATACTTATCAAAGCAATAGTTCTATTAGACTTAAAATTGATGAACATAGAACATTTGAAAGGCCAATACAAATTAGCAATGTCTGATGATTACTTGTGCGTTCTTAAGAACCTTTTGCTCTTTGATATTTGTTTTCCTTTCCCTTGCATATTGGAGTTTTGATTTCTTCTTCATATGTTCGTAGTGTTATTAGTAGTAAAACAATTAATGATTTTGCTTTTTATGCTTTAGATATGTGTGCTAGTTCCACCGTTTCTATTTAGCGAGATCAAGAATTATTTTCCTATTTGTGGTATACCCCAAAGCAACTGTCTCTCGTATTGTGTAACAATTATATAGGGCCAAGCTGGAGTCCAGCATATTTGTGGATTTTTTTTTATAATAATTATGTATGAATTTTATTCTTAATCTGTCACAGGGTGTTGATATTCAACTTGGAATGGCAATTGATAGCACAAAAGCCACTCTTGCAGTGAAACGAAGGCTTGCATGTGAGATGGTCAAATATTGGCAGCAGGTATGGATGTTTCCAACTAATATGTAAGAGTTTCATATGAAAATGTTTTCACATCACACTAGCGTGTAAAGAATTATTGACAAAGCCTCAATGTTTTGTGGAATGTAAAGATAATGATATAGTTCTTAGAGGGTGTTTCTAGGATTAAAAACAAATGTTTAATGGCTTTAGTTTATGCAGTAAAGATTTCTTATTCCAATGGTGGATGCCTTTAGTTTATGCTATAAAGAGTATGGAATAGAAATAAAAAATGTGAGATCAAAATGGAGGCTTGAATATTTCAAGTAACTAGTTTTTCATCAAGAGCCCGTTTTAAGATCCTATGCTTCACCCTTTCCAGAAAAAAAAAAAAGGAAATGACTATTTTTCCCTAACATAGGCTCTACTTTGTTATAAAATTCATCGTGCTTGGTAATGTTCATTCTTTTCCTTGTTGTATGGATTAGAATTGTTGTTCATGGTTTCTGATATGTCTAGTTGTTGGCCTCAAGTGAAAAGGTTTTGCTTGTTCTATATCTGCAACTTATTAGTTTGATTTCTGCACTGCAGTGAATTGTAACTAATATCTTTATGTTACCTACACGAGAACAAGGGACATTTCATGATCCCGAAGCACGTGTTGCTTAAATTGTGGCATTTACTTTGTACAGGCTCAAGATAACATAATGAACCTTCCATTATCAAAGGGTTGGGGAGAAAAGCATCGTCTTTTTGTGAAGTGGAAATACATCGAAGCAAAGGTGTGTGATATATTCTACATTTTGTGTTTCATTACTACATATTGATCTTCTCGCATATGCCATTTTCTTCAGATTCTTCATCTCGTTCTTATCATTAACTTTGATATCTATTGACAACATAGAAATTCTTTTGTAGTTGCATGCAATTGGACAAGACTCTAATCTGTTTGCACTTTTTTCCATCGACTTAACCAGGCTGGAGCATATTATTATCATGGATTAATCCTTGATGAGGGAAACACAGAAAAATCTCATGGAATGGCTGTAGCTGCTCTGCAAGCAGCAGATGAGTATTTCAAAGAAAGTAAAAGGGCATGCGAAGCATTTAATGCAGCTCCTCCCTTGTCAAGGTGCGTTGTCCCCCACCACCCCCACAAATCCCCTGGTCTCTCTCTCTCTCTTTCTCATAGACACACACACACTCTCATCTGTGCTTGTAGATGGATAATCTGTCTGTTTGAATTGACACGTGATCTAAGTTAACAGTTACTAGAGCAGCAAAGTTCATGCTTAATCTTTAGGATATAGTGTTGACAATTCATACTAAAGATGCAAATGATAGACTTATAAATTGTGAAGCTTGGGGTAAGCAATGCTTCTTGACCATCGAAAAAGTTATTCTGAGAAATCAGCTCCCCTAATCTAAATTTTTCAGTCAATTGACTCGCCTCTATATAATTTCACGTCCCTTTTTCAATCTACTAGCTGCCCTTAAGATGCATGATTTTTAAATCTTCAAACTTGCAACTGTAACTTTTGAAGTTTCCTTCTTTATGGAGGAGAAGATTTTTTTTATTGGGTTTTTTATTGGATATGGTAAGAAAGTCGCACTATGTTGCCGGATGCAGTAGTGTGTGCATATCTACTTGGGGATTGGAGCTATGGTTGCCAGACTTGGAATGTAGGCGTGGTGTTTTTCCTGCACCAACATTTCATATGAGTGGTCTGTTTGCTTTCCAGAAATTGATGTGAGGCCTCCATCATCTGTAACCTGTATATAGAGCGATTGTTTGGCTGATCTGTTATTGCAATCAACTTGGACACCAAGTATAAGTCCTATGAATACATAATGATATTGTTTTTAAGAGGCTGTATATTGCTTTTGTGTTTGTGGAAAATCAGAGAATAATTCTTCTTATTCACTTGTACAAAGGCACGGTTACATATATATATATATACACACACACTTAGGGTATCAATACATTTTAGGAGGTTGACCATTCTAGAATCAGGAAACTAACACATAAGGAAACTAACAGAAAAATTACAGCCTACTTTCCTATATTAGGAAAATTGGTATCTGCCTATTATTGATACAAATATTCTCATTCTATCTATGGGATATGAAATCCCGGATTTCCAACAGTGTTCATACTAAATTGTACGTGAAGGGTCACTTATCTCAGAGCTTGCATTTATTGTTTCAAGACTGAACTTGGTTCAATATCTAGTAAGGAAACTAATGTCTTTTAGTTTGATGCAGAAATCCGCCACTTTGGGGAACCATGAAGTATCTATCTGAGAAAATTCCAAAAGATACTTCAAGCAAAGTACGGATAAACCGGGACCTTTACTCTCATGAAAAGTAAGTCTTGCTTGGTTAGAAATGGTTTCTATTGATCAATGAAAATAACCCCGACAGTGATGTAATTTACCCACGGTTATGAAAATCTTGACCGCAGAATCATGGAGACAGCACCAACACTGCCCGACTTTGCGTTGGCCTTGAAACCGGATGAGTACCAACTTCCTCCAGTAGACGCCTCTTGGAATCAAGAGCATACCAAGGGACAGACTGGCTTCAACCAGCTCAGGAATGATAAAAGATGAGACATACTAGATACATTTTGAGACTACAGAATTACAAAGACCAATCTAAAGTTTGGATGGTCATTCAAAACAGGATGAAATGTTCATCGACTCTCAGAAGGTTTCTGTTCCCTTTCGACCCTTTTTTTCTCCACTCTTTTCCTTATAATAATTCATTTTTTAGCTCTCTTCCCTTTTTCCTTGAGATTTTATAATGTACCCCTTAGCTTTGTAAAAGTTTCTGTTGTGTGTAATTGTAAATTGGCTTCTGTTGATGGGGGGGAAAACGATTTTTTTGCCGATTCTTAATAATGTGCATTCATTTTTGGTTTACCATTAAAATAAATACCTTTTTTCTTTTTTCATGAAGTGCCAGTAGTACATGTGCTATTTTTTCTCTTAGCTTTTATTTGGCAAGTTGTTGTAAGTTTTCAATGAAATTTTTAATACTGCCCTATACAAATTCATGATTTATTCGAAAAAAATTACCAATTGATAAGATCAGATAAATTTTCTTTGTTGGTGCTGATTCCACTAGAGTTAATACATCAGAGCTCTGTACCCAGTACAGTAATCTATTGATATGACCCGTTCTACTATTATCCTTCCATAGCTTCCTACCAAGGAAGCAATTTTTTTTCTGGGGCGTTTCGTTGCTCCCGTTTCAACAATTCTTTTTTTTTTTATTTAAAAAAAAAAATTTTCTCCTTTTTTTTTTTCTCTTCTTTCTTTTGTTTGACATTCTTATCTTTTTTGTCCTTCTATACATTTTTCTTTTTTTTGTCTTCCTCTTTCTTTTTTCATTCATATCATTTTTATCTTATTATACATTTTTCTTTAATTTCTCTAAATGAGATCTTAATAAATATGTTTTTTATTTTTACTACAAAATTTGGCACGTGTATGTGTACGGGTTCAACTAGTGTAATTGGTTCTTATTTCGTACATGAATTAGGATTAATTTTATGAATGCCCATTGGAGTATGCATTTTAGTTCAACACATTCGTGAACTTTAGAAAACGGTTTGTATCATCCTTTGAACTATATAAAATCGTTACACCCTTTCCGTCTATAATACAAATGAAAAGATGATAAATGATGTGACACTAATTGTAATTTCATAAATGTTTCATGAATTATTTATTGATTTTATGTCAATTTGACATTCAAACTATTGATTTTATGTCCCTCGATTTTTAAAATCAATAATGTGAGGACATTTATGAAATTACATAGTTCAAGTAGTTTTTGAACAATTTTATATAATTTAGGGAGAAATGAATCATTTTCAAAAGTTGGAGGCCATATTAAAATAGCGTTCACAATTGCATTTTTAAAAGAATTAATTAGAAAAACTTTCCACAACTATAAGTCTTGTAACATCTTGTCTCTCGACTTTCAAAATTTAACATTTGTGTCCTTTGAAAAACTAAACTTAATAAAATGCTCCTTTCGTAAGGATTTTAAATGAAAATAATAGTGTCATGCAAGTAGTAATGATTTCTAAGCATTTGGTGTACAATTACTATTCTACACAATCACCTATTCTTGTACTTCTCTTTAAAAATAAAAAAAAAATAAAAAAATAAAAAAAAAACTCAAGATTCTTTGTACTCAAAATTAATCAAATATCAAACACGATCTAACTGAAAAAAATTTATTATGCCTCAAACTTAAAGAGGGATATACAACATGAATTAGAATTGAGAATTGAGAAAATTACTGAACTTATTTTAAAATACATGGATCTGGATTTTCATTCTTTACTTATTATTAATACCCTTTTGACTAATATAGTTATTTGACTAAAAAAGATATTAATCAAAAGTAGTAGTTAAAATCTAGACTTGTACACTCTAAAAAGTATTTATCTTTTTTCTCTATTGAAATTAATTTTATAAATGCCCATTAGATTATGTATGCTAATTCAATATACCCTCAAATTTTGGTTTGTTTTATCCCTTAAACTATATAAAATTGTTAACAAGATCCCATATCCCATGAACTATTAATTTTTTGTCAACTTTCCACCAAGACTATTAATTTTATGTTAACTTATCTTTCAATTTTTAAAATCACTAATTCAGAAACATTTATGAAATTACATAATTTAAGAGTGTTTTAAACAATTTTTATAATTTAGCGGGCAAAAATGTTGAACGGCTCTGCAGACTTGCCGCTTATCAAACACATGGGGTAGCCCCATGCCCCTGTTGGACCTACATGGGCCCACGCCATGTGTCTGAGGAGTTGCGGACAATGCTCTTTAAACTTTAAGGAGAGAATGAATCATTTTCAAAATTTTAAGAGCTTATAAAAATAGAATTCACAGTTTAAGGAGCATTTATGACGTTGACATTATCCAGAAATTTAATACGTCGCACTATTTATTTAACAACCCATCTCCACTAGTTTTAAAATTATATGCAATATTTTCTTTTTATCTCCTTTGCAATCTTGGAGTAAAATTCCCAAGTGAAAAAAAGGCAAAACTATGCTGTCATCCTCTTGTTTTACTTCTCTTATCAGAAAATTATTGAAGGTATTCTTAAAGTGTACGAGTATAAATTTATACCTTTTATTTTTATTTAATATAATTATTTGACTAATTCTGCACTTATACATTTTAAAAGATATTTATCTTATTTTCCCTTTACTTAAATTACAAGGGATTTTTTATTTTATTTTTTTGGCTAAATACAGAGAGAGCTTCTTGATCAAATTTGATATTTTATGTTAGCATTCCATAATTTTAATTTCACAAAAGTATCTGCTAAATCATGGTTGTTGATCTGAAATTTTTGAATCAAACTCTGAATGCGTGATTAGCGTTGCTTCGGCAAGATACTGGCTACTTCACTGTTCGAGATCAAGCTCCATGCTATTATTTCACTATTCGAAGATATCGTCTTATTTCTTGGCTGTGAGTTTTGGTTTGAAACGTACCAAAAAAAAAAAAAAAAAAAAGGGTATTAAGACTGAATGGATTTACAAAGGATTAAAAAAAAAAAAAAGAGTTCTTAGAAAACAAAAGAAAAAAAAATCCCGTTACAGGCAAGACAGTGCTAAATTGTTATTAAAATTTGAAACATCAAATTTCAGTAAATTATGGCCTTTTTTATGAGAAAAAGTTTGGAGTGCGCATATGTGAGAGAGTTATCCGTTTGGGTGTGAACAGTGGAGGCACCATACGCTTAGAAGTTAGAAATGATTACATTGAGTGATAACTGCTTACACCAACAATTTAATTATTGTAGGCTAAAGTGACAGAATTACAATCTATTTAGCAATTAAAAAAAAAAAAGCAAAAGAAAAAAAGAATTTCATTTGCAATCTCGTTAGTGTCATATGCTAACTTCAATGTGGGTTTGTGTCATTTGCAGAGGAGTGTTGCCAGATTAAATCTAAGTTGGCCGTGAGGTGTTTTCAGGCTCGTCAGTCTTCGTCTCAATCTACCTTATGGAAGTTTTAGTTTGCTCGAGGAGTGAAGTCATCTTATGGTGTCTGCGTTGAACTTTGTCGCCATTGTCGATGCGCGTTTGCCAACCACTCGTTTCTGTCGTTTTCTTTTGCTCATGTTAAGGTTCTCACTCTACTATTTTGAGGCTCCTAATTTTTTTAATATTTTATTTTTAATAACGGTGGTGGTTTTTACCTCGATTAATTTGTGTTATTGTTTCATTTGTTTAGTGTTTCCTAGTTTTTTTTTTGGGGTAGATTTTTTTGAGGGGCTTTTTGTGTAGCCTTAATGCTATGAATTTCTCGACATTAGTTGATCAGACTTCTTTTATCAATTGTAGAGCATATGTTAAAAAGCCATGTATGTACTAGGCTTTTTGTGTACATTTTGTTCACCATTTGTCGAGGGATATACGTTATTTTTCCTAGAGCTTCATTCAAGTTTACTAATATTACATGTAATCTATCGATGCCATGTTTCCCGTAGTAAAGATTTTGTCACAATGGTACTTGTATTGCCTTTTCGTGCTTTGGAATATATTTCCATTTAAAAAATCCAATCACTAACTAAATTTGAAATAGGTAAAAAATCCATTATTTCAAACTTTTTCCCCCCTAAATGATCTAAATACCATTGTCGATGTGTATTCAAACAAACATGTTATTACAAACGCTATATCCAAACAATCCAGATTCATTTTTTTTTCCTTTTCAAAAAACGGAAAAGATTAAACTTAAAAGAGTTAATTTTAAAAAAAATGACATGTTCATACTGGGGTCCCACCACCATGGAGATCATGAGAATTACCACCAACTAAGCGATACACATGACACACAACTACACAGCTATTCTAAAAATGACTATGACTAGGTTCTTTCATTACACTTTAGCTTTTTTCAATTTCCTTTTACTTTTTTGTTTGAGGAATGGATCTAGCATCTAGCTCATTCTGGTTGCACGGGTTGACTAGTCTGGTGCATCTTGAGCATCTTCAGCCAATTCTTTCTGTTTTTCTTGTTCCTCTGCAGAAACCACAAATGAATAGTGGGTAAGTCGGCTGCAAATGGAGAGATCCAGACTATGACATTGTCAGCGCAAGGGCGCAGGCGTCGTTTCACAATACTATCAATATCAATAACTTTTCATTAAAATCTATAAGAGAGAAAAAATGGTAAGCTGCATGAGGGCTTGATCCGTGAAAACGTGTTATGACAAGATAAGATAATAAATATACATTGATGGTAAAAAAAAAATGAGATTTTTGTTGTCAAGGGTTGATTATCTATTTAGAATTGGATAATTTGGGAGTTTTGCATGACACTAATGTTCTTTTTTAGTCGCACAGAGGAGCTTTACTTAGTATTATATTGTTTAAATAAAAGAAGCCATGCAAATTTTCATCTCTGACAATTTCATTCGCTTATGTAAAAAGAAAGCAGTGAGTAACATAACAAAACCAAGTAAACCAAATTGGATATCTAGTAGATATATCAAGATGTTGATAGCCAACAACATATTCTCAACAATGTAAATCCTTGCTTCACAAAAACGATGGATCTT